CCTGGATGATCATGATGAGACTGTAAGGTCACTAGTGGAAGTAGGGAGAATAGTCAGAGCCTATTGGAACAGTGCTGGTCAGGAAAATTATGGTGGATGGAATCACAGTGACAATGGTAATGCCAGCTTAGAAGTGGTTATGCTCTGATTGTACTTTGTTGTTAGAACTGACAGAATTGTCCGGTGGCTTGAGTGAAAAGTAAAAATAGGGGCTAGAGAAATGGCTCAGTAGTTAAGAAAGTAATTGCTGCTCTTCCAGAGGTCCTGGTTCTCAAGTCAGGTGGCTCACATTGTCTGTAACTCCAGCTCAAGGATACTCTGACACCTCTGAGGGCAGTCTCTCTCTCTCTCTCTCTCTCTCTCTCTCTCTCTCTCTCTCTCTCTCTCTCACACACACACACACACACACACACACACTGAAAATGCCGCTGCTGCATTTCCAGTAGAAATAATAATTCTGAAGATCACACAATCAACTCAGCTAAACATTACTTGTTTTCAGTGCTCAATGAAAAGACGACTCCAAGCACAAGAATGGTTTCTTCTAATCTACACACCAAAGGCCAGACTTTAGGAAACTCAAGCAGCTAATGTTTCTGATGCTTTAACTATCACTGTGTTCGGATTGTAGTAACCAGTTCCACAGTCTGATCATGTAACACCTTGTTTCATTTCTGCCAAGACTTTTCAAATTTAAGTCAACTAGAATGACTGGGGGAAATATGGAAGCTGTTAGTACTTCATTTTCTCTCTGATTATTTTAACTAGAATCACTGAGGGCAAGGCTTAGAAAACAGCATTTTCTCATGCTTGTCAGTCATTAAGAAAATTTGAGAAACTCTATCCTAAAATAATGGTTAGTTGTCTAGTTTGATTTTTCTGTTGCTATGATAAAATGCTAACCAAAACCAACCTGCAGAGGAAAGGGTTTTTATTTCAGCTCACAGATTATAGTCCATAATACACCACCGAAGAAACCCAGGTAAGAACTCAAAGCAGGAACTGAAGAAGAGACTGTGGAGGAATGCTCTTAGTCAGTAACAGCTAATTTTGCTGAATTACCATTCTGTTTGTTTGTTTAAGATTTTATCTCTCTATGTAGCCCTGGCTATCCCAAAACTCATTTCCCAGCCTTTGCCTCTCAAGTACTGGGATTAAGGATGTGCCCCGGACCAGCCACACCTGGCTTAACTACTGTTCTTATACAGCTTAGGCCCACCTGTCCAGGGAAGCCACTGCCTACAGTGGCCTGGGCCCTTCAACATTAAGAAAATGCCACCACAGGCATGCCCATAAAGCACTCTAATACAGATACTTTGTCTAGTTTGTGTCAAGTTGACAAGAACTAACTGGCACAGTTGGTAAGCTTGGGTCTATTTTAGGTGTTTTCATGTCTTCAGAGTGGGAAGTTCTTAAATGGGAGACCACAGCCAACTCCAAGGGAATAGTTCTTTTAGTAGTGGAATTAGGACACGCATCATGATACCATTAAGAAACTATGGGCCAATATGCAAATGTCAAATTGAGCAAGTTACAATTAAGGTGGAATCGGAACTGTAGCATATGTAATTAGATTTTAACACTATAATGGTTCTCAACAAATGGTCCTTCAGGGCAGTTCAACAGCAGCAGTAGCAGCTTCACCTGGGAACTCATTAAAAGGCAATTTCTCTGGTCTTGCTCTAGACCTGTTGAATCAAACTTCAAGGCATGCAGCACTGTCTTTACAAACTGGGATTGTGATAGTTTTTGGAGTTCAAGAACCATTGTTCTTCAAGCCTGTGAACCTAAGCCACAGAACATTCTTTCTCACATGACTGAGTTCAATATAGGCTGATCTTATTCATTGTATGAATCTGGTGGCTCCCTATGCCTGCTACTCTGGGTATTGTTCTGAATGTGACAGGTCATGTAGCAACAATGATGACTAAGTAGACAGATGCTTGTATATGGAATAGCACTTGTTCTCTACCAAACACCCTAAAAAGATCTTGCATGTTTACTTCTTTTGTTTGTTTGTGTAGCCCTGGCTAGCCAAGGAACCTACTGTGTAGACCAGGCTGACCTTGAGTTCATGGAGATCTTCCTGCCTCTGCCTCCCACTTGCTGGGACTAAAGATGTGTGCTACCACATCTAGCCCCACATTAACTCTCAGAACAGATCTAGGGTAGTACATTGTGTTTAAATAGCAAACTGCTTATTTTGACAAATAGAAGTTGCTTTCTCACAACCTTCACTGTACTCACCCTAACTAGTTTGGACTCCACTGTTAAGTATCATAAGATAATATCTCCCAGGTACTACCTGGACTATGCCACTACAACTGACCTGTCTTTAAAAACTGTCACCAATTTAAATATTCCAGTTATATCAAGTCACATTCAAATGATTGGGAATCACCCCCACCATGGCTCTTTCATTAGGCCAGGAAATATAAGGTATAGTTCCATTACACAGGAGTCTTACAATGGTTGTTGATTATTTTTATCCTTTAAAAGTAATAGAGATTGCATAATTTTATATGATCTGATTTTCATTCAGATTTGAAAGTCATTCACATCAAATTAAAATTCCTTTGGGTTCTTTAACATGCTTTGAATTAAAGTTTATGATTTAATAACTAAAGGGTATGAAGGGAGTGCCAACTGACTCTCTGAATCTTTAGTGAGATGGAAATTTCCAGAAGATTCACAGCCTCTCCAAATGAATGTTTCTTGTATTTAACAGACAGGATAATGGTGGGGGAGAATCCATCCCCTGAGTCAATATACCTGTGATTCTGTCTAGGACTGAATGAAAGAGAGCTTAGTGTAAAGAAAGGAATAGCAACACTTGGTTATTGCCCTTGAAGTATGTAAGACAGAGGTGGAAAAAAGAGAAAAAAGTGTGTAAAAGCCCAGCAGTAGCATGTAAATCACCATGAGTATATGTATATGTATATGTATATGTATATGTATATGTATATGTATGTGTGTGTCCTAACACAAGTGTCTAGTGTGTGTGTGTCCTAACACAAGTGTCTAAATCTAAGGCAAAGACCTTTCTCTTTCCTTTTCTTCCTTCTTCCTTCTTTATCCCTGCCTTGATTCTTCTTTCTCATTTCTTCCTTTCCTCTCTTTTCCACTTCCCTCCATTTTATCAGCTGCCTGCATAATCCAGCAAGAGTTCATTAAATGTCTGGCTTCCAGAAATATGGTCATTGTCATCATCAGTACTTAGACCAGACCTACAAGGATCTGTGCTTGAGGTTTCAGAAACTTGATACTCATAAAGTGGTCCATGCACCAACTGCATCAGCATCAACTGGGAGTCTGTTAGAAATGTAGACTCTGGGACCCAACTAGGCCCTCTGCATGTGGATGACAGTCATGAGGCTTGATCTGTTGGGGGGCTCTCAGTGGCACCAGGAGCTATGCTGGATGCATGAATTGGCCTTTTGGAGCCCATTCCCAATGGTGGGATACCTTGTTCAGCCATGATACAGGGGGAGGGGCTTGGTCCTGCCTCAACTTGGTATTCTGGACTTTGTTGACTCCCCAAGGAAGGCCTTACCCCCTCTGAGGAGTGAAGGGAGAGGAGGGAAGGTCGGGGGATAGGAGAAGGGGATGGAGGGGAACTAGGGTTAGTACGGAAAGAAAGAAAGAAAGAAAGAAAGAAAGAAAGAAAGAAAGAAAGA